GAGAAAGGGGAGAACACACACACACAAGATGAGGACAAAAAGGGGAGAACACACACACATAAAAGATGAGGACAAAAGGGGGAGAATACGAACACACACAAACAATGAGGAAAAAAAGTTCCTTGCAGCAGGAGGGAAGATATGCAATTCTAGATACCATCCATAAAGGAGACCCCACTGAAAAAAGGACACAGGACTCTGAGGCAAGGAGCACACATGATAGGTTTCAACAAAGCACATGATGGTGGCTTAACTCAGCATTACAGTAAAAAAAAAAATGACTGATGCAATTTGCAAATGAATTAGACAACATATGTTGATGGTTTAGATACAGGCTGGAAAAGAAAGATTCAATGATTACACAGTTTACAGCTGAGCAACTAGAAGCACAAAGCTGCCATTATGGAAAAGGGCTGAGCAGGGGACAGGAATTGTGAAAGTTTGGTTTTTTAAAATATCTTGGGCCCATTAATAGCTAAATGATGATTCTCAATGCATGCTAGATATGGTCTGGAATCTAGAGTAAAGTCCAAGCTGGAGACATAAATCTGGGTGACATGAGCTTAGAGATGGTGTAGACAGAGAAAACGATGTCCATTAATTCCTAATACAATCACAGAGGTAGAATAAACCTGATATTATACAGTGTTACTGTGGAGATCAATAATTATTTGAATTGTTGTTGTTCAATTGCCCAGTCATGTCCGATACTTTGCAACCCCATGGAATGCAGCACACCAGGCCTCCCTGTCCCTCACCATCTCCCAAAGTTTACCCAAGTTCATGTCCATTGCATCGGTGACGCCATCCAGCCATCTCTTCTTCTGATGACGACTTCTCCTTCTGCCCTCAATCTTTCCCAGCATCAAGGACTTTTCCAATGAGTCAGCTGTTCACATCAGATGACCAAAACACTGAAGCTGCAGCTTCAGTCCTTTCAAGGAATATGCAGGCTTGATTTCCCTTAAGCTTGACTAGTTTAATCTCCTTGCAGTCCAAGAGACTCTTAAGAGTCTTCTCCAGAACCACAGATTGAAGGCATCAATTCTTTGGTGTTCTGCCTTCTTTATGTCCTGCTCTAACAACCATATGTGACCAGTAGGAAGACCATAGCCTTGAATATACGGACCTTTGTCAGCAGAGTAATGTCTCTGCTTTTCAATACACTGTCTAGGTTTGTCATAACTTTCCTGCCAAGAAGCAAACATCTTCTGATTTCATGGCTACAGTCACCATCTGCAGTCACTACTTCCACCTTTCCCCTTGTATTTGCCATGAAGTAATGGGGCTGGATGCCATGGTCTTAGTTTTTTAATACTTAGTTCTAAGCCAGTTCTTTTCCTCTCCTCCTTCACCCTCATCAAGAAGCTCTGTGATTCCTCTTAGTTTTCTACCATTAGAGTGGTATCATCTGCATATCTGAGTTTGTTGATGTTTCTACTGTCTATTTTGATTCCAGATTGTAAATTGTTCAGTCCCGCTTTTCTCATAATGTGCTCAGAGTATAAACAAACACGGTGACAGCAGACAGCCCTGTCATATTCCTTTCTTGATCCTGAACCAATCAGTTGTGCCATACAGGGTGTGAACTGGTGCTTCTTGACTCACATACAGGTTTCTCAGGAGACAGGTAATATGGTCTGGTATTTCCACCTCTTTAAGAGCTTTCCACAGTTTGTTATGATCCACACAGTCAAAGGCTTTAGCACAGTCAACGAAACAGATGTTTTTTCTGGTATTCCCTTGCTTTCTCTACTATCCAACAGATGTTGGCAATTTGATCTCTGGTTCCTCTGCCTTTTCTAAACCCAGCGAGTACGTCTGAAAGATCTTGGTTCACATAATGCTGAAGCCTAGCATGCAAGATTTTAAGTATGACCTTACTAGCAAGGGAGATAACTAAAACTGTCCTATGATTTGAACATTCTTTAGCACTACCCTTCTTGGGAATTGGGATGAGGATTGACCTTTTCTAGTCCTGTGGCCACTGCTGGGTCTTCCAGATCATCTGACATATTGAGTGCAACTCTTGGAGAGCATCATCCTTTCACAGCCACAATAATAACAAGTACGAATTAGGACATCTGCAAAGTAACAGTTCAGTAAGAAAAGTCTCTGAAATAACATACTGAAAAGAAACACCAAAAACGAGATGTCTACTAAGAATTTAGAAATAAGGAAAATAATGCTTCTCAAAGCAGAAGTCCTTATACAATTTGTTTTCATTTCACTGAGTAAACTAGTAAAATCACAGATCCATGAAGTCCTTTTAACAAGAATGAGCAGTAACAAAGAGTTTATCAACCAAAACTTAGAACTGTTCAAAATGGAGCCAGTTGATGGAAAGTGCCCAAGCCATCTTCAGAACAGGTACTGTGGCTTAACTCAAATATGATCATTATGACAATTATACCTCTCAATTTTAAGTAACATCTTGGTGTTTTGGCATTCTTGAGGGAAAGAGTTTGGGAGGTAGGTTATGAATTTAAATCCTAGCTTTGTTTCTTATGCAACAATGTGATCTCAGCCACTTTCTTTTTCTGTTTTCTATTTTGCAAACTGCATACAAGACCTATGTAACAATACTGGTGTGAAGATTAAATGACATAAAAAACATCAGTGCAGTGCAAACCCCAGAGGAGAAACTCAGGCAGCTCTTTTGTTTCCAAGGTTAAGAAATGGGTCTGAGTCAGGTAAAAATATAAAAAGCTATGTGACTAATGAGTGTGAATATAAGGACTAGAGTCTAACACATGTCTCTAGAATGCTACTATCCTATGATGGTTGACAGTTTTTCCATTCTAGAAACATGGGATGAACATGTACTATTTACATATTAGATTATGTAGTAGCAGTTTCCCTAAAGTCAGTGCTAATCTTTCACTCATGTCAGACTCAGCAAACTCATGGACTGTAGCTCACCAGGCTCCTCTGCCCATGGAATGCTCCAGGCAAAAATACTGGAGGGGGTAGTCATTCCCTTATCCAGATGATCTTCCCTACCCACAGACACAGCCCCGGTCTCCTGCATTGCAGACAGATTCTTTACAGTCTGAGCCACCAGGAAAGCCAATTTCACTAAAAATAAAATCTTATTTCTAACCACAAAAGAGCTAAGCATTTGGATACACAGATTCCTTTTCATCAGGAAAGCAAAACATTACATGAATATAGCTATAGACAAGTCAAAACTAAATAGGTTATAAAAAACAACACAGCAGACTGCTGAAGGGGTGATAAATTCTGTTTAGGAAAATAAATAAATAAATAAATAAAGGTGTTCTTGAAGAAAATAGCACTTAACCTGAATCATTAAGTAAAGAATTTTAATTGGAGGGGAACAAATTCAAAAAAGCAATCATGTTTGCAGTTTACTCTACTATTTTCAAGAAACTTTAGTCTTATTTCAAAATGTGTACTTATAAACAATGAATCCTAGAGAAAGCAATATGACTTGCCAAAAGTCTTAGAAAAACCGTATGAGGCAGGAGGGGGGATCAGGAAGGGGAACACATGTAAATCCATGGCTGATGCATGTCAATGTATGGCAAAAATCACTACAATGCTATAAAGTAATTAGCCTCCAACTAATAAAAATAAATGAGGGGAAAAAAAAAAAAGAAAGAAAGAAAAACCATATGGTAGTAAGACAAACTAAGAGTCTACTGCTTCTACATACAAGACTCTCACTTTGCCCAAAATGTTTTTTAAAGGAATATCATAGTATCAAATACTTATACAAAATTAAGGATTATAAAGAGTGCTTATAATATATGTCTTTTCCTCCACTATTTTTTTACTCTACATAAAGGCAAAAGATAAAATCAAGTGTAAAGAAAACTGTAGAAGTCATTCTTCTACCCCTTTCTTTGTTGTTGTTAGACTGTCTTTGAAAGTAAAAGCTATGGAGTTTCACTGAATCGAATAAGAAACTGTGGCAAACAGATAAATATTGATAGAACAAAATTAATATAAAAAAACATTTTTAAGTCACTACAAAGGACGTATATATATAATAACTGGTTAAATAACATAGCCACTGATTGCGATAGGTAGATCATGAGTCAAACCAACAAACTAATTTTTAAAAGATAATATTCATGAGATGATTATAAATTTTAAATGTGTTATTTAGTGACTTTACTAAACTATTGTCATCTTGCATTATGAGAATGATACTGGTTGTTCTTTAGTTGCTAGTGATGTTTAAAAAAGAGAGAAGGGAAGCCCTTATCTTTTAGATGCATTCTGAAATATTAAAAAATGGAATGCTATGCAGAATGACCTTCAAAATAACACAGGAAAAAGAGATTGGCAATGACTTGATAACTGCTGTACCTTAGATTTATATGGAGGGTTTATTATACTATTATGACTTCCATAGGAGGAGGCTAAATTTTTCCATAATAAGAACTCTTATAAAATAAAATTTTTAAACTGTAATAACAAAGTCAACTCACCTTTATACTCATAAAGGTGAGTATAAGATAATACAAGCCTTAACCCACTGATACCATTGATACTACTGTCTCTGACAGTACTACTTTAAATTAAATGACTGTGTACTCATATGACATAAAGATACCATACAGTAAGAATACATAGAGCTTTTCTAAACTTCTCGATCATGTGTAAATGAGAATATATTCTGAGACTGAACTCAAATACTACAAAAATATATACTTAGCTCACAAGAAATGAGAGCTGCATCTAAAAATAAAAAGCAAGGAAATCGTAACTACACGTCATTCCATGTCAATCATCTTCCCAATCCCTTCACATGGACTACCATTTATTTATAAGAGAGGCAGGGAAAGCAAAAAAGATACTATAATTAATTTTCTTTTTCTAACCACTGCTAAGCCTATTTATGAAGCAAAGTTTCCAAGACATTCTAATGTGTCAGTGAGCTTTTTAAAAGTATTAACAGTATTATAATTAACAAATAGCTCATTATCAATAACCATTATAGAAACAAAGATGACAAGTAATATACATACTGGAGGCCGGCCAGGTCGACCTCTTTTTCTTTTTCCTTTGACCTCTGTTTCTTCAAGTTCGCTGCCAGCATCAGAATGGGCAGTAGTCTCATTAGTTGAATCTCTAGAAAATATGATACATTATTTTAGTGAAAAAATTAACATATGCATACCTATTAATAATACAATGCAGCTCTGTTCCTCTAGCTTTCTTACTGTTTGCTGTATGTACACATATAGCTGATTAAAAGTGGTTTATACTTTCATGTTCAGAAAAAATCTTTAGCAAATTCAAAATATTACCCTCCCTGGTTAATATCACATAACAATGAATAAAATGATTTTCCAAACAGAGAAATACAGAAAAGAAATGACTGTGGAAATGGCAGCTGCTATAGAAAATATAAATGCAAAATACAACTGCAAAAGACTAATTCTTCAATATAAAAAAATAAAGGCTTGGGAGGAACTTTACTCATTTCATAAAATAATGAAAGTGTGTTAGTAAATGTTTAACAATGGCACTTCAAAAATCTATGCATATAAGTCATTAGAAACAGTACCAATATAAAGGAAGTAGAGCATACAACTTACAAACAATAATAAAATGCACAATATTTTTTATTGTAAATTCTATCTAGTTCAGTCACTCAGTTGTGTCTGACTCTTTGTGACCCCATGAGCCGCAGCACGCCAGGCCTCCCTGCTCATCACCAACTCCCTGAATCCACCGAAACTCACATCCATTGAGTCAGTGATGCCACCAACCATCTCATCCTCTGTCGTCCCCTTCTTCCCTGGCCTTCGATCTTTCCCAGCATCAGGGTTTTTTCAAATGATTCAGCTCTTCGCATCAGGTGGCCAACGTGTTCGAGTTTCAGCTTCAATATCAGTCCTTCCAATGAACACCCAGGACTGATTTCTGTTAGGATGGACTGGTTGGACCTCCTTGCAGTCCAAGGGAATCTCAAGTCTTCTCCAACACCACAGTTCAAAATCATCAATTCTTCAGCGCTCAGCTTTCTTTATAGTCCAGCTCTCACATCCATACATGACCAATGGAAAAATCATAGACTTGACTAGACAGACCTGTGTTGGCAAAGTAATGTCTCTGTTTTTTTAATATGCTGTCTAGGCTGGTCATAACTTTCCTTCCAAGGAGTAAGCGTCTTTTAATTTCATGGCTGCAATCACCATCTGCAGTGATTCTGGGGCCCAGAAAAATAAAATCAGCCACTTTTCCCACTTTTTCTCCATCTATTTGCCATGAAATGATGGGACCAGAACCATGATCTTAGTTTTATGAGTGTTGAGCTTTAAGCCAACTTTTTCACTCTCCTCTTTGACTTTCAGCAAGAGGCTCTTTAGTTCTTCTTAAATTTCTGCCGTAAGGGTGGTGTCATCTGCATATCTGAGGTTATTGATATTTCTCCCAGCATTCTTGATTCCAGCTTGTGCTTCATCCAGCCCAGCATTTCTCATGATGTACTCTGCGTATAAGTTAAATAAGCAGGTTGACAATATACAGCCTTGACGTAACCCTTTTCCTATTTGGAAGCAGTCTGTTGTTCCACGTCCATTTCTAACTGTTGCTTCCTGACCTGCATACAGATTTCTCAAGACGCAGGTCAGGTGGTCTGGTATTCCCATCTGTTTCAGAATTTTCCACAGTTTATTGTGATCCACACAGTCAAAGGCTTTGGCATATTCAATAAAGCAGAAATAGATGTTTTTCTGGAACTCTCTTGCTTTTTCGATGATCCAGCAGATGTTGGCAATTTGATCTCTGGCTCCTCTGCCTTTTCTAAAACCAGCTTGAACATCTGTAAGTTCGCGGTTCATGTATTGCTGAAGCCTGGTATGGAGAATTTTGAGCATCCATCTAGTTAACAGATTCATATAAAATGATTTTGATAATTGTGTGAAACTCTTGTATCCCTAGCTAATCTATGGTTTCAACTGATGAATGAACAGACTTATGCCGTGAAAGACAGTTGATACCTTTGTGCACTTTAATGAACAGAAGGCAAAAGAAATGACAAAGCCATCTGTTGGAACGTCACTCATTGGTCACGTTGTGAGCATCTTCTTTACTGAATTGCATATGTAATAGTTCTCGAACACTAGAAGGATATGTCCTCAAATCTTTGTGGTATCATAATATAATGACTAAAGACCTGATATTTATCTTTAAGTTTAATCTGCATTATTAGCAATTTCTCCATCACTTTATTGAGTCCACAAACAACAAACCAATAAATTGAGTCCTCATTTGTAGTGTTTGCTGATTTTCATAAAGTGAATACTCTTACCACAACCAAATTCAAACTATCAAAGTGACATCACAAAATACAGAGTTGAGAAGTAATTAATAATAGTAGTACACTACTACAAAGTTATTTCCATCATACATGGAATAGATGTAAATAAAAATCTAGAGAGCATAGAAACTGGTAAGATGTAAAATAATTGGGAAGTGATGAGTTTTGAGCATTTACTTTTATTTTTAATAGGATTTATTTAATTTTAAGCTTGCATAATTTAACTGTCCATAAAAGTTATGTTATATATGGCTTCCCAGGGCCGCCAGTGGTAAACAGTCCACCTGCAATGCAGGAGACATAAGAGACCCGGGTTTTATCCCTGGGTAGGGAGGACACCCTGGAGGAGGGCATGGCAACCCACTCCAGTCTTCAGGCCTGTAGAATCCCATGGACTGAGGAGTCTGGAAGGCTAAAGCGATCCATAGGGTTGCAAAGAGTCAGATACAACTGAAGCAACTTAGCACGCACATGTGCATGCATGTTGTATTTAACAAGGTCACAAAATTCCTGGAAATTTAATATTCAGCTCTCCAGGCTAATACAGACTGGCCCTAGCATGGCATTAAAAACACATGGATGATATTAACAAAAATATCTTCACTGAATTCTATATTACTCACTGTATCTATATAAAACTGCAAGTAAGAGGAAGGGTACAAAGCAAATGGTAAACTCAACTCACAACTTAGTATTTCTGAAACTGCTCCACTGAAGGCTCTTAGTTCCTTTCTCTTTGTTTTGATCCCTTGAAGCTCATCGCATTATTATCTGCTCTTCCCCCTTTAAACTAACCTCTCTTGGAGATCTCATCCAATTGATATGGAACTTTTATGCAACTTTTATGCAAATGACTTCAGTATATTATCACTAGACCTATCTGTAATTCAAGATTTTCCACTGCATGTGTAACATATTCCTTTGCATACCATCGCAAATTCACCAAATAACACACATAAAATTAAGTCCAATTATGACTTAATTCTAGCTCTCTACTCACAGCAATATCACTAAATAACTAATTTATTGATACCCAAATTTGCACTGTTTTATAAGCTTATTATTGTCACTATTACTCTGTCTTATTCAAACCTACAACCACATCAGTCTTCCTCTTAGGCCATCAGTTAAAAATCTTCCTGAGTCATCCTCTATATACTAATTCTGTCTCTCATTCTTTTTATGATTACTACCATAATCACAACTTCTTGAATTAATCACAACTTATCTCTCTGCTTCTAACATTTCCCTGTCCAAGCCACTCAACACACTACTGTCACTAATATTCTCATTATCACATTCCTTCTTTGTCTGCAAACCCTCAAAGGCAACTTGGTATTTAAAACTATAAATACTGATCTAGTCCAAGGGTCAGGAAACATTTTCTTTAAGGGCTATACAGTAAATATTTTAGGAAAATATTTTAGGCTGAATGGTATGAAGTTCTCTGTATCTGATACTCAACTTGCATGAATATGGCCATTCATAATACATAAGTGAATGGATATTGCTGTGGCCCAATAATATTTATAAAAACAGGTTTTTGAAACAGTATCAGTAGTCTTTCAATCACTGATTTAATTAAGAATAATAAATCATACTGCTGCTTCTCCTCACTACAATCCAAACAGACCATTTAGTATATACTGTGTGCTGGTTTATAGACATTACCTATGCACAAAATCTTATTAAGACAACATACTGATGTCTCAGTTTTACAGATGAGGAAATGAAAGATCTCAAAACCTGACAATCCTGTTCATATTCACACAACTATTAAGTGGTAGGGTCCACTTAGATCTCAAGGTAAATGCGAATTCTCTATCTCTAAGGTAGGATAGCAGAATGCAAATATTATGTTTAGTATTTCTCTTATGTGGACAGAATACACTAGTACTTTAATGCTTATAGAAATCTCCAGGCAACTACAAAAGCAAATTTGTTCCAAGGATACCAAATGTGTCCCATTAGTGAAATTAATTTATCCTTCAGCAATAGTTTACTGACAACAGAAAAAAGTACAATTGTTTTTCAATTCTTCACACTTCATCCAGCTTAAAAGATGAAAGCTATTACCAACAAACAACTAACATACTTCAATCAGTATATGTATTTTATTAGAATACATGATATATAAATATGTTTTTTAATTTCAAGCAAGATGTAAGAATACAAGGAAGAGTTTCTCTCCACTATACCCTAACACTGAATTTCAATCTGCAGAACAAGATTATTAAGTTTTATCAATACTGTCATAAATACTTATGTTCTGGCATAAATATACATAAATACAAAGCAAAGACTATATAATTTTTTAAACTTAAATTAATATGAATTTTCCTACAAAGGATTCCTAAATGTTACTCAATAATATGTTCCTTATCTGTGAGTACTTAGACTGTCTCCAGTTTCTAACCACTACAAACAGAGGTGAAACAACTGTCCTTGCACGTTAACTCTTATTACACATCAACAAATACCTCTCTAGAATAGACACAGAAAGCTGGATCAAGGGCTATGCAAATTCAAACTTCAACCAAATTGCTCTACCAAAAAGCCTGCAAATGAATACTGGACATGAATAAGGAGAATACAAAAATCAGATTCAACCTTATAAAGTCATTCTTTTTAATTCCCTGAAAACTCTCTAAATTCTGTTTTACTCTTTCTATTTTCCACTGTAATCATTGTAGCTCAAGTTGTTATTATCTCTGGCCTCGACACCACAACACCTTTCTCCGAATAAGACTCCTCGTTTCTTCTGTTGCCTTTTCCAATCAAATCACTATATTGTGTGCTAAGAATGATATTCAGAATATATGTCTTATTCTATCTTTCTCATGATTAAAACTCTATGATGATTTCCTTCTACTTCCAGGGGAAAACAACCTCAAAAATTCTTAATTTAAGACTTAGCAGGTCCTATACAATACAGCCCTACTCTACTTGCAAGCCATATCTCACCCCATTCTCCATCTTTAATCCTGAAAAAAGAAAAATCACAGCTTTATTTCAGTCCCTCAAACACAATGTGATTCCACCTATCACGATTCCTCCTACCTCTCTACACTTCTTCCTTAGAAAAGTAGACTACTTCAAGGCATATTAAAATTTTAATAAAACCCTCTAGCTTACCTTCAAAGCACCAATGGCAGTTTAAATCTATATGATGGTGATTATCTGATTAATATATATCTATATAAGCTTCATGGCAGCAAGGACAGAGTGGGTCTTTTCCACTTGCTCATTCTCCTCAAAGCCCAGCATAGCTCTACTACAACATTTGGTGGAATAAATAATATGTTGTAATTGGCAATATTTAATAATGTTTAATTAATAGCAAAGCTTGCCTGGTGGTTCAGACAGTAAAGAATCTCCCTGCAATGCAAGAGACTAGGGTTTGATCCCTGGGTCAGGAAGATCCCCTGGAGAAGGGAATGGCTGGCCACTCCAGTATTCTTGCCTGCAGAATCCCCTAGACAGAGGAGCCTGGAGGGTTACAGAGAACTGAGCAATTAACACTTTCATATTTAGACAAATGAAGCAGGGTAGGTATTGATGGCTTTTAGCATGTAAAGTAATTTGGATAGCATTCTGTCTTAAAACTCTGGAGGAAAAACGGAAGGACAGGAGACCAACTGGAAGGAGACTACAGTTTCTTAGAAAAAACACATATAAATGATCTAAAACTATAAAAATATATAAATAATTATGTAAACTGTTGGTCACTTTCATTATATCTAAACTGCTATTATCGTACACAATCAGAGTATACAGATTCCTACACTGGAGCTTAATGAAACATATAAAGGGAAAAGTATTTGCCATTACATGATCACATTTTACAGAGAATCGAAATCAAATTCTAGATGTGTCCCATAACTCCAACAATATCTAATTAGATGTCACCAGAAATGCCAAGGACTCATCAATTACAATCTCAATCTCAGGGAAAAGAAATTCTGGCATAGGGTGAGAGGGTGATATGGGATAGAGGTCTACAAACTCCTGTCTATAAATAGCCAAACGAAATATTTCTGTTTGCAGGTTAATTTTTTCTCTAGCACATAAACAATTCTGCAAAGGAGTCAGTGTGATTTTCTTTCATTAACACTTCATTTACAAAAGAAGTTGCCATGTCAAACCAGCCCATAGTCATCGTTTCTGCTGAATACTAAAACAGTAACTTCTTTGTTCAGTAACATGGACATTACATACTGACATTACAATGCAAGGGCTATAGATGGATATAATAATTATACCCTCTAATAGTTCTTTTACTTCAAACATATTCCCCAACTATCTAAGAACACATTTCATGTCTCAGTAATAAAAGTATTTTGGTACAGAAGTGTTATATGCATTTAAAAAAATAAAAAGCTGTAATACTTACTGTAACACTGGTAACTCTGAAGTAATCATTGCTGCAAAGATCTGTCCACAAGGCAGCAAAAGAATCAAGTGCTGTACAACTCAAAATTTTCAAAATAACCTCAAAGGTAATCCTGTTAATTAAAAAAGAAAGAAAGAAATTATTTTTCCAGTTTACTGATGTAGAGTTGACAAACTCTAAGACAGTTACAGCAAGATAATTTGATATATGTACACACAGTGAAGGGCTTCCCTCAATGAGTTAATTAATACATCCATCATCTCACATATTTTCTCTTTGTTTGCCCCAAACATTTAATAAATTCTACTCTCTTAGCAAATTTCAATTATATAAGAAAGTGTTATCAACTACAGTCACTTTATTATACATTAGTTCTTCAGGCCCTATTCATTTAGAACAAAGTTTGTGCCCTTTCACCAATCGCTCCCTATTTCTACCACTTTACCCTTGGCAACTACTTTTTCCACTACTTTTTCCATGAGCCTTCCCGCTCTATAGATATCACATATAAGTGATTTCATGTGATATTTGCCTTTCTCTGTGGTGATAATTTCATTAGTATAATGGCCTCCAGGTTAATCCAAGTTGTCTAATGATCAGTTTTGTTACTTTTTTGAAGACTGAGTAATATTCCACTGTGTGTACACAGAGACAACAAGGTTTTCTCTATTTGTTAAGTCCATGGACACATAAAGCTGTTTCCATATTTTGGTTATGGTAAACAATGCTGCTGTAGTTCAGTTCAGTTGCTCAGTCATGTTCACCTCTTTGCAACCCCATGAACCACAGCACGCCAGGCCTCCCTGTTCATCACAAACTCCCAGAGTCCACCCAAACCCATGTCCATTGAGTCAGTGATGCCATCCAGCCATCTCATCCTCTGTTGTCCCATGCCATCCAGCCATCTCATCCTCTGTTGTCCCCTTCTCCTCCTGCCCCCAATCCCTCCCAGCATCAGGGTCTTTTCCAATGAGTCAGCTCTTCGCATCAAGTGGCCAAAGTATTGGAGTATCAGCTTTAACAACAGTCCTTCCAATGAACACCCAGGACTGTTCAAAAGCATCAATTCTTTGGTGCTCAGCTTTCTTTATAGTCCAACTCTCACATCCACACATGACCACTGGAAAAACCATAGCCTTGACTAGACGGACCTTTGTGGGCAAAGTAGTGTCTCTGCTTTTTAATACGCACAGCCGAGAGGAGCTATCCCACGTCCGAGGTCAGGGGCAGGGGCCGAGAGGAGCTACCCTACATCCAAGGTAAGGAGCAGCAGATGCGCTTTGCTGGAGCAGCCATGAAGAGATTCCCCACATCCAAGGTAAGAGAAACCCAAGTAAGATGGTAGGCACTGAGAGAGGGCATCAGAGGGCAGACATACTGAGACCAGAATCACAGACAACCAGCCAATCTGATCACATGGACCACAGCCTTGTCTAACTCAATGAAACTAAGCCATGTGGTGTGGGGCCACCCAAGACAGACAGGTCATGGTGAAGAGGTCTGACAGAATGTGGTCCACTGGAGAAGGGAATGGAAAACCACTTCAGTATTCTTGCCTTGAGAATCCCAAGAACAGTACAAAAAGGCAAAAAGATAGGACACTGAAAGATGAACTCCCCAGGTCGGTAGGTGCCCAATATGATACTGGAGATAAGTACAGAAATAACTCCAGAAAGAATAAAGGGATAGAGCCAAAGCAAAAACAACACCCAGCTGTGGATGGGACTGGGGATAGAAGCAAGGTTTGATGCTGTAAAGAGCAGTATTGCATAGGAATTTGGAATGTTAGGTCCATTGAATCAAGGCAAATTGAAATGCTGCTGTAAGTGTGGGATAAACACATCTGTGTTTGGGATAATGATTTCATTTATTGTGGATATATAGTGAGAAGTGGGATGGCTATATAATATTATATATAATATATAATACAATAGTCTTATTTTTAATTATTTGTTTTCTAAAGATTATGCCAAATTACATTTCCACCAACAGTGAACAAGGCTTCTGTTCTGTCTGTATCCTCAACCAGAATATCTCTCTTAGCTTTTTGAGCAAAGACATCCTCACACAGATGTGAAGGGATACATCATTATGGCTCTGATTTTCATTTCCCTGAAGATTAGTGATATTGAGTATCTGTTCATGTAGATTTTGGTTATCTGTGTATATTCTTCAGAAAAATGTCTATTTAGGTCCTCTGAAAACTACTTTAGAAAAAAATGAGTATGCCAGAATACACAGACTACAATCAATAGTACTACCAACTACCAGTACTACCAATAATCACACTCCTTTGTATTTACCCAAATAAACTAAAAATTTATGTCTACATAAAGGCCAGCACAAAGGTATTTACAACAGTTTTATTCAAAACTGCCAAAACAGAAGAAAGGTGTAATTTAAGAGGTGAATGAACAAATAAACTGTGGTACACAGAAAACACTGAATATTACTTAACACGTAAAAGTAATGAGCTATCTAACCAGGAAAGGACATGGAGGAAGCTCAAATACCTATTACTAACTAAAAGAAGCCAGTGTGAAACAGCTACACCCTATATGATTTGAATGACATGGCATTCTGGAAAAGGTAAAACTATGAGGACAGTAATAATATCAGGGATGGCCAAACATTATTGGATAGGGAAGATGAACAAGTAAGACCAAAAGATTTTTAGGGCACAGAATCTATTTTGTATGATACTAGAATCATGGGTACATCGAAACTGAACATTTAAAACAAAACCCATAGAATATATAACACAAAGAGGGAACCCTAATGTAAACAACAAACACTGGGTGATAATGACATCTCAACGTAGGTTCATTGATTGTAACAGATGGATCACTGTGATGTGGGATGTTAATAGCGGAAGAGGTTATCTGTATATGTGAACAAGAGTTATGGGGGATCTCTCTAACTTCTATTCAATTCTGCTGTGAACCTAAAACTTATCTTAAAACTAAAATTTATTAAACAAAAAAAAAAGTAGCAGAGTGAGACAAAACAGGGCATCCAAGACAGGCCATGACACAATACCTAACAGAATAACACATAACTAGAATTCAGAAGGAGAGAGAAACATCAAGGCAAGAACAAACATTTGAAGAGGTAGCAAAGAGCTTTCCAAAAGTAATTTGAGATTTTAAAACACAGAAGAAAGATCAGAGAATTCCCACGAATATTCTAAAATATAAATATTGGTAAATATGAAAAAAATTTGAAAGGAAACAAAAGAAACATAATTCCTCACAGAGAAAAAACAAAAAATTATGATCAGACTTCTTGGTAGAAACTATCTATGTACTGGTTAAATAGGTCCATTCTAAAAGAAATCAATCCTGAATATTCATTGGAAGGACTGATGCTGAAGCTGAAGCTCCAATTCTTTGGCCACCTGATGCAAAGCCAACTCACTGGAAAAGACCCTGATGCTGAGAAAGAGAGAAAGCAGGAGAAGGGGATAACAGAGGATGATGGTTGGATGGCATCACTGACTCAATAGACATGAGTCTGAGCAAACTCCAGGAGATGGTGAAGGACAGGGAAGCCTGGAGTGCTGGGGTGATGGGATCAGTCACTCAGTTGTATCTGACTCGTTACGACCCCATGGACTGCAGCATGCCAGGTTTCCCTGTCCATCACCAACTCCAACAACGTAAGCTGAAAGACTTACGTTGAAGTGGAAAAAATCATGAAAATTGAATTATCATTATCAATCTTTCAAAAACAAAAGAAAGAAATGATGTCATGGAAAATGGAGGACTAGGAAACCTCAAAAATTAAGCCCTTCCAGTAAAGGAACTTTTGTTGTTTTTTAGTTATTAAATGAAGTCCAGATTTTTGGGGAACCCATGAACTATAGTCCACCCAGTTCCTCTGTCCATGGGATTTCCCAAGCAAGAATACTGGAGTGGCTTGCCACTTTCTTCTCCAGGGGAATTTTCCTGACCCAGGGATCAAACCCACATCTTCTATGTTGGCAGGTGGATTCTTTACCACTGAACCACCAGGGAAGCCAGAAACAACTCTTAGTTTGGCCAAAAAACAACAAAGCTCATCTCTTATGAACATCTGGAACCTAATAAAAGTTTATGATAAAGAGAGGGGTGCCTAAAAGACGTCTATTATACTTGATAAGAGAGCACAGTAGTATTTGTGCTTACTCATATGCCAACTCCATAGCCCACAAGGACAACAGACCAACTTACTGGTGTGGCTTGCTAGTGCCCAAGAGAACACCATGGACCTCTTCTCTAAAACTGTAGCAGAGTGTTTGGAAGAGCTTCCTTTTTCTTTTTTTGGAGAAACTATTATCTTTCAAAAGCATTTAAACACACAGTGATACAAGTAGCTGTCTGGGGCAAGAGAGTGGATTGCATAAGCATTAAACAATCTAAAAAGCCTTAAATTAAAAAAGGGGGAGGAGAAAGCTATTTGGGGAATAAGTACTTTAAAGAGGTATCACGTATGCAAGGAAATGGAGAGTACTACATGAATGCCCAGGGCTAGATGGATTCTTAGAGAAGAACTAAGGAGTACAGGCTTTCATTTCTAGGTGATCTTTGCTCTCCATGCAAGCACAAAGTGAATACTAAGACAAAGCTGTAGGCAGCCTGCCTAATTTTTGAAGAAGTACCTCAGCTAACAGACAATCTGCCCAAAAAAACCCAGAAATTACTTGTTTCCATTAGCAAAAGAAACCTGGAAGATCACCACTGAACAAGACAACAAAATTTTAGGACCCACACATGACAAACAATACAATCCTTACAAAAACAGGTTAGCAAAGCAAATTCTAAGAGATGACTGTAGCCCTCGAAAAGACAACAGTAAACCATGAGGAGAGAAGACCCCAGTGTCCAATTTTACAACACTGGACATACTGAAAGTGTCCAGTTTTTCATAACATCAAAAATTCAAAAGGCATACAAAAAACATGAAATGATGGCCCATTACCAGAAAAAAAAAATTCACAGAAATCATCTCCATCTAAGCTCAGATATTGAACTGAGACTTCCAGAAGTAGATACACAAAGACAGACAAGAAAGAATATCTGAAGATACATGGCAAAAACTTAACCTATTTTAAATACATAAATCTACACAATT